TAACGGTGCTAACGGTGCTAACCACTGATCCACCTGCAGCCCTGAATCTAAATCACATCATTTATTTTTTCAATCCTCCAAAAACTTTTGTGTGAAGTTTCGTTTGAGAACTGATGCAGCTTGAAGACTGAATACTGTGGACGGACTCTCCGTGTGCTGTTGATTATCCCGTACGTCATAAATGTGAAGGAGCTGACGTCAGTGATTGACATCTACTGAACCAGAACATCTTTGGTTTCACTTTAACTGGCGCTCAGTTAAGACGCACAGAAGCAGTTTAGAGACAAACGAAATCATCACAGAGCTTTTATAAAAAATAAAAAAACTCTGACCGCTGAACAGTGAAGCCAAATGATAAAACACACACACACACACACACACACACACACACAGACGGTGTAATTGGTTTAACAGTGGTTGACTTCCTGCACAGTTTGATGTTTAAATTAAAGCCATCGATCAGAGTTTGGCTTTTATTAAAGTTTCCCCCCCGGAGATGGTGTGTGTGTGTGTGTGTGTGTGTGTGTGTGTGTGTGTGTGTGTGTGTGTGTGTGTGCATTCATTCACCATATAAAACAGTTATTTCTGCTGCTTCTGAACACACACAGCAGCTCACTGGACGGGTTCGGACTCTGTGTTCGGACATCACTCGTCAGGATGGATCCGGTTTCGGGGTCACGTGTTCAGCAGCCGCTTCCTGCTTCACGGCTTTCCATCGCGTCTCACAACTGCACAATCAGCAGACAGCAGGACGAAACGCACCCGGACCACAACTACCTGCTGCACGACCCAGCTGGGAAGCTGTTGGCGGGCTGGAGCCGGTCCGACATCAGAGTCCTCACCTGGTCTCTGAGGTGGAGGCCAGCCATCCTACCGAGGAAGCTCACTTCAAGCTCTTGCATCCACAGTTTCATTCTTCTGGTTGACAACCCACAGGTGAGCGTCAGAACAGACGGTTCCTATCAAATACATACGCCCCCCTTGGAAGCTTTCCCTCTGTGCAGCTTTGAACCACGGACACTTTAATCAGACTGTTCTGACAGGAGAAGTCCCACAAAGACGTTTTCATGTCAAAGTGAAAACAGATTTCACAATTAATTAAAAATATAAAAAGTAAAATAAGTGACTGCAGTATTCTCCCTCTTTACAGTGACTCTTTAGCCAGGTGGTGTAGACGTCCCACAGTCAGTAAACGCATCATCTGAGGTCAGTGAATGTGTCTCAGTGGTTGTAGTATAAAGACTCGTGTATCTGGAAGGTCCAGTCCCTGGTGGATCAGAACTCCTGGATAGAACCACACCATGAAGACTGAAGAACCCTCCAAGAACTCTGGGAAAGGTTGTTGAGAAGCATCAGTCAGGAGACGATACCAGAACATCTCCAAGTTCCTGAACATCTCTGGAGTCCAGTTCAAGCCATCATTAAGACATGGAAGGACTATGGACCATGAGGAGATCTGACTAGAGCAGGACGTCCTCAGAGACTGAGTGACCGAGCAAGAAGGAGACTAGAGAGGGAGGCCACCAGGACTCCTATGACTCCTCTGAAGGAGGTACTAGAAGGAGACTAGAGAGGGAGGCCACCAGGACTCCTATGACTCCTCTGAAGGAGGTACTAGAAGGAGACTAGAGAGGGAGGCCACCAGGACTCCTATGACTCCTCTGAAGGAGCTACTAGAAGGAGACTAGAGAGGGAGGCCACCAAGACTCCTATGACTCCTCTGAAGGAGCTACTAGAAGGAGACTAGAGAGGGAGGCCACCAATTGTTAATTATTGTTGTGCCTAGCATCTTGTTTAGCCAAACACAACAGCTAGCGTTATCGTATTTAAGCTAAAGTCACAGATAACAGTATTTTTCTTTGGCTAATGTTATGGTGAACATTATCTTGTTTGGACGAATGTAGCCATGACCAGGCCGTGACCTTGTGTAAGCAGATAGCGTTCCTTTTGCTGAGGCTAATGTCATAGCTAACATTATTGCTTTTAGGCTAATGTAGCAGCTAGCACTGTCTTGGTCAGGTCAATGTAATGGCTAACGTCATGTCACTTAGCTTAATGTAGCAGATAATATGAACTTACTCAGGTTAATGTAATAAAAACATTATTTTGCTTAATGTAGCAGCTAAGATTAGCAGCTAAGACCAACTGTGAACATCTATAGAAAGCTAGTAGAAAGCTAAGCTAATGGAACATCATCAGTTGAAGTGAATGTAAGTTAATGTCAGTCAGATGTCGCTAACGCGCCGCAAGAAGAAACGAGTCGATTCAGGATTAATGATGGCGCCCCGTCTACAGAAACATCCCTGTGTTCGTGTTCTCCACCGTAACCCAGACAGCAAAGTCAATTTTACAAAACGATTGAACAAAACATCTTCTGAATCAGACAACAGCTAGCT